TAGCTGTTTAAGGGGTGAATCGCTGATGCAGACGTGTATCACAGCACAAGGCAAAGACTTAGGTAAAAATGTCACCGAAAATCAAGCTCTGCATCGAAATGAAATACCAAATCAAGCAGTTACAGGGAAGGGGAGGGAAACGCGTCTAGTTTTATTTTTAATTAACACCTGTTTGCAGGGCTTGAATTAAAATACATTTATGCCTTGGTATTAGCCATCTCCTGGATTCTGTGCATTATTCTGGTGAAAAACAAATACCAGCAAATGTACCCACGGTGCAAATAACAAGCAAGAATCGCATTATGATGAGCAAAATGCTTAGTAAAAAAGATGACTATTAGGGAAAACTGCGTTCAACAGTGCAGACATTAACAGAAACACGCATGACACATATACTAGTTTTCACGCCCATTTTCAAAGGTCTGCGCATTCTTTAGAAAGCTTGAAGGAAAGCACTTGAATTGGAGCAGAGGTATCGTTTGATGGGGATAACTGGGTCCCATTTCTGGATTTCCACTAATAAGGGATTCTTTCATTATCTCTATAGTTTTGTCCCTTTGTATTTTTCAATTTCTATTGACTAGTTTTATTCTGCCTTGCACCTTATGTTTATGCTGTTTTGTTACTTCGGAATATGTCGCTTGTTTACCCATTAGGTATTTTCCTAGGGGAAGTTAATCTTTTGTGGGCATATTTTTTTTTCCCTGTTCAATTTGAGCAAAATCAGCCTCTTATCATTTCACCTCTCCCTTCTCATTTATACAGTGCTTTATGAGAAGAGGTTCTACTAGACAAGCTATGGCTGACTATAAAGATTCTCAGTCATTCAGGTCATGGTTGTCCCAAGGGTGATTTTCCAAAAGTTCTAAAGAAACGTTTTTTTTTTGTTTTTTTTGGGGGGGGGGACACCCAAGAAAGACCAATTACCTTTTGTAAAAGCAACTTTGGGACAGGCTGTGCCTGATACATGGACAAACAGGTAGGATCACTCCAGCAAGCATCTCTTAGAAACAGCCTTAAAGAAGCAAGGAAGTGCCATAACAACAGACAAGCCCATCAGCAGATGCAAATGAGAGTCCAGGACAACTCAAGTCACTAAGGATGAATTGAGGTGATTGATGAACTCGAGCCAACCATTTCATTTCTCACTTCTCATCAGTTCCCCTTACCTGAGGTATCCGCTGGGCACAGTCAAAAAAAAAAAAAAAACCACCAAAAGGGTTGCCATGACAGAGCAAGCAAAGTTTCACATAAAAACAACAACAGAGCTTCGATAACAACATCCCTTCTACTTCAATTGTGCCCTACAGACGCTGCTGACCGTTTTGGCAGTTGGCTACTGGCAACCACCAAGTGACACCTTGTTTGTCAGTTGTGATTTAATGCATTGCTTTTCAGCTGAACATGCACTTGGCAAGTTTGCTAATCCATTAATCCCTAAATTAAGAAAGCAAAAACATATCATATCGGGGGCATTCCTGGGAGGATAATGTCCCTTTATTCTTCAGCAACAGTCCCCAAAAGGAATATAGAGGGGAATAAATGAGGTTTGAAGGGAGCTGGATTCTGAGATCCAGGCCCAGAGCAAAGGAGGAACGCTCAGTAGTGACCTCCAGCCCCCCCTCTTCTTTCCTTCCTGGGGGGCATTTTTGCAAGTGGAGAAATGTTCCAATGCATCTGCAGTAGAAGTCAGGCCGGGGCTAATCGGATGAGTGCCTCCCAGATTTGCATCCTAATTAAACTTGAATGCTTGCAATTCCATTTCAGCTCACCACCCTCCGAGTTTGGGCCAGACTAGCAGCTGGCTTCTCTGGACCCCCCTTTTTAAGAATTGTTGTTTTCTTTATTTCAAGCACCAGGAATGTGTCAACGTAAAATGGACTTTCAAGTTTCCCCATTTAGATAGGAGGAGGAGAAATGAAGCGTCCTTCTGAGAGACGACTGGTCTTGGTTTGAGAATTAAAAGTTTTGCTGCTCAAGGCAAAGTAACCAAGGATGGCTGCCCCTCTTAAATACTTTGTCCCCAAAGTCACTAAGATATTTTGGCACCTCAAAGAGAACCCCTCTTCCCTTTTCTAGCAGCAGGTACATACAGGTAGTCTTTGGTTAGAGATTGACTCATTTAGCAACTGTTCAGAGTTACGACAGGGATGGAAAAAATAACTTCACAATCAATTCTTGTATTCATAACCTTCACAGATCTGCAAAGCAAAGGAAAGCTGACGTAGGATGCATTTTCACTGAGCAACTGCTTCACTTAACAACTGAGTTGCCATGCCCAATTGTGGTCGCTAAATGAGGACCAGCTGTACCTAAAAGAACCTCAAAGTTCTGATGAGGTATTCTTGTCCCACATGGGAGTTTCTAACCCAGACATCCAACCACAGCCTTCTCAGCCATGATCTCCTTCTGCCAGAGGAAGAGGTCTCTCTCTCTGAGAGATGTTGAAATGGTTTTCTTTCTGCCATAATTCCTTCATTGTAAGGAAAGTTATTTTCTCTTTGGTTTTGGTTTCTTTTCTGTACCTTTTTAGAAAGAAAACTGGAATTCTGGGTTATCCTAGAGGGAAAAGGTAGATACTACAAATTTTTGTTTCATTGGAAAATACTTTAGTGATTCAAGCATAATGTATTATGGCTGTGCAAAGATTTCATTCAGATATTTGATTTGAAGATAATTTAATTAAAACACTTTTTTTCAAATTGTATTCCAAATAGTTTGAACCAAACTGAATCGAACATCCATTTGTAAAAAAAAAAATATGGACCATTTGAGAAACTGGCACGTGTACACACATGTTTTTCCAAAGCCTAGACAGGATCAAACTGATTGTCTAAATCAATTCCAAAATCTGGTAATCCAATGGATCTGACTTTCTTGGTTGAGTTCAGAAATTCTCATCAGTGGAGACTGGCCTGTGAAACCAGTTTATCAATTTGGAGAAACCATCTACAACCTGGCAATGTAGACTGAGACAATAAGAATGTTCATGGTGGCTGGGAATGATGGGAATCTATGCCTTAAGACCCCGGAGGGAACAAGACATTCAGAAGGGGTTACTTCTTGTGTCTTTACATCCAGAATCTAAGAAAGAAGGGCACCTATGAAGTTGTCCAATGCCTAGAAGGCATGATTAACCTTTTGAACAGTATCTGTTTAAACGTTCTCCCCCCTCCCCCTTATTACTGACAGTTGGTGTAAGAATCCATAAAACAAGACCCAGTGGACTTAGCCCTTCCAATCAAACCCATAAGAAGCCATAAAACAAGACCCAGTGGACTTAGCCCTTCCAATCAAACCCAACTTTTTATGGTATCTGTTTATTCTTATCGTCGGCACCTTCCTCCCCAACATACAGACAGCTTAGGCTGAGTCAGGGTTTGCAAAATAAGTTTTCCCTCTCCTTTGGATGGTGCAACTCAGCAGTGGATGATGGGAAGGCTGAAAGTTTCTAAGTCCTCAGACAAGGAGATGCTGCTTAATTAGAAGCCTCGTCTGCATAATTTGTGCACAGGGAGTATTTCCAGGAAGTCCATCACATCTCTTCCTCCAAGCATTTCTTAAATTTGAATATGTTTTATTGTAATGTGTAAATTTTTGTCTGTATTTTTGTTATGGTGTTTTGATATTTTTATTCATATCATATTTTATTCATATTCATTGTCAAAGACACAGAAATGCAGAGTATATAAATATCCTGCTTCCCTGAGAGAAAGGTTTGCCACTGCTTTTTGGTTTTTTAAAAACTCCTTAAATAGTTTATGAATACGGGATCTCCTGGAAGTGTCCATCCCATCTAACTACCAATTTCTTTTTGCCTCTCTTAATATCAGCCAAGATGCCTTTAAAAAGCATGTTTTTCTTCTTCAGCTAGTCTGGGCACATAGGTCTTATTGAAGCTGCAATTGAAAATACCTTTTATAGATTGAATATACCACAAAACAGTATATCATTCTACTGTGTGTGCATGTGTGTATACAGATATTTGATCCCCCCCCCCCCCCCCCCCGGAAAAATTAAATGTTTGTGGCTGTCAAAAGGATTCTGGAAAACAAGCTCATTAAGGATAACAGTAATCGTCCTGAACAAAATTTAATCCATACAAAAGTTCAAAATCACTTGCAAACCAGGCTTTATGGCTCTTAGCATCCTTCAGACCTCAAATCTCAGCTGTACAGAATAAGAGGTTTCGGTTATTTAAGTTATATGTGGGTCGCATATTACTTAAGGAAGAGTAAACGCTCTCTGTGCATGCTCTGGGGCACTAATGAATTTTTAGCCCGTACGCTCAAAGTGAAGGCGCTAGAAACAAGCCGGGGTTCTTCGCCGCTTTTGACTAATGCCCTAAAAACACTCCCCACCCAGCCACCCACCTCCGGGCAAGAAAACTCCGCGAAGCCCAGCCTTTCGCCCCCTTTCACGCCGAGAACGATTGAGGCGACGAAGCCGGCGAAACCACATTTCCCAAATTCCTCTGCCTTCCAGTTTCGCCATTCCTTTCGCGGGGTTTGGAGACAGTCCGCGTTTCCCCCTAACCCCACCGCGTCAGCCGGCGACCTAGCTTCCTAAAGTTACAAAAACGTACCTAAACTAAACCCAAACCATTCGCCGCTCCCTCAGACGGGGAAAGGTGGGGAGGGGGGGGGGTGTCCGGGGAGGGAGACAAACAGGTTTTGCCTCACGGCGGCGGCGGCGGCAGCGCGCAGGTTCAAAGGCGTCTGTCGGCGGGGCGAAACTCTCGCACGCTTCGCCTTCCCAGCCGCGGCCAAAACACGAGGAAACTTTCCTTCCCGATTCACGCGGGGTGGGGTGGGGGGATCCGATCCCCAGGGAGCGAGCAAGGCAGCATCGCGCCCGCGTTCAACACGCCCACAGCTTCAGATCCTGTTTGGGGTTAAACAGATCCTTGATCGCTTTGGGTGTAAAGGGCCATTCCTCCGCGCGATCCCGCTCCACAACCCACCGGAGGCCGCGAAGCGCAAGAGGCGAGCGGGGCTTACCTGCTTGAGAACCTGCCGAGCGGACGCTCCACCAGAGGAGCAGCGTTAGCGCGGGCAGGCAGCTTCGGATCTGGCGCTTCTTCATGGTTCACGGGGGTAGGGGAGGAGTGGGGGGCTTCGGGGGTTGTTAACCTCGAGGAGAGAGAGAGAGAGAGCCCCGTTCCCCGTTCCTCCCGGCGGCGTGCGCGGGATCCCGGGCTACAGCATTCCGCTTTGGGATGGGAAAGCCGGAGCAAGAGGAGAAGCACCTGATCCAGACCGAAGGCGGACGAGTGGGGGGCCGATCACTTGCTTCTTTCCTGCTTCATGGGGGTCTTTGGCGAATCGCCCTTCGCCGACGCCTCTTTTTTTTTTTTTTTTTCGTCCTCACCCTTCCCAAAGTGGCCAATTCACCCTACCGGAGCCACGAACTCCGGCTCGTAGGGCTTTGATCTGTTTTACTCACGCACAACTCACAAATTACACACACTTCATTCACGAGAAACTCGGGCGTCATTGGTCCGGGCTGCGCCGCGCTCCGGCCAATCAGAGGCCAAGCGAGAGAACTCCGGAACGAGGAGTGAAAAGCGGAGATTTGTTTTGGGGAAAGAGAAAGCGCGCGCGCGAGAGAGAGAGAGAGAGAGAAAAGTCGACGCCAGCTACCAGTTTGTTCGTCCGACCGTCGCTGTCGCGATAACAATTAAGGATGCATCCATATAGTAGTCACTGCTTGACCCCTTAAGTTGGATAGCCTCAGAGGAGGGCTAAATAAATGTGATTTTGTCACACCGGATGGTTTCGTTGATGGGCCCACCTTCAAAATGAATTTTTCCTCATGGATGATTTAAAAGTGTCCTTCATTGTCCCACTTTCGCCTTTTTCTATGACCACCCTTGAACGACCCAAATTAATGTTCAACATCTGTAGTAAACTCATTTAGTGTATTTACTAAAGTTCATCTGATCTGCATTAACCCCAAGAGCTGGGTCAATCAGTATTTCTTAGGCTAACATTTGTTATCTTATTTTGAATCCTACATAATGTAGCCTAATTCAGATACATGATACTCTGAAAAAAGCCCCAAATCAGGGGTGGGATGCTACCAGTTCTGCTCAGCTCTGTAGAACCAGTAGCTCTGAAGAGCAGCAGACACAGAACCGGTTCGTGTTTGCTGCTGTTTGGCCCACTTGCCCGCCGAGCTCTTATCTGACCTTTATTTCCTGCTTTTTTGACTTCAGCTGTGCCGCGCAAAGCAGATGAGGTCAAAAAAGCAGTAAAAAAGGTGTTTTTCAAACGTTGCGCACCTGCGCACAGCGCTTATCAGCTGTCCAGGAGGCACAGCTTTTGTTGTATTACACACGTGTGCAGCATGCGTCCGGCGTGCAAAACGTAAGGACCGAACCGGTAGTAACACTGGTTGAATCCCACCCCTGCTCCAAATGCTAGGAAAGGTAGAAGAGTAAAAAAAGATGGATGACCAGCTGTAAGGTGGTTGGACTTAGTTACAATGGCAATGGGTGCATCATTGGAAATCCAGAAAGACTAGTTTAGGGATTGATAGTTATGGAGAAAATCTATGTGATCGCTAGGAATCAATACGGAATTGATGGCCCATAGTCCATTCGGTGGACTAGCTTGTAGTTCAGTATATCATGAGATCACAATAATAGGGTAACCATCATCACTGCCATTTGTTATGGGAGATCAAGGTACAAATCCCTGCTTAGACACACAAAGTTCATCAAAAGATTTTAGGCAGCTTGCTATCTCAGTTTCACTTGGCCTGCCTTACAAGGTTCCTGGAAGAATACGTGGGAAGTAATGTGCTTATTGAACAAGTCTCCAAAGAGATTAATGTTTGGAAGCTAGTTTGAACATATTAGAAGAAACATAGGACAATGTAGGAAACATAGGAAATCTACAGATTAGTAGTCCATCTTAGCTCGATTCTGTCTGTAAGTGTTGAACAGTGGTTCTTGGATTCAAGCAGGATTTCATCCCAAGATTTCTAGCACCTGAAGATGGCTAGAGGCTGAACCTGAGGCCTTCTTCATTTTAATCATGAGTTTCTTCACCCTCCAACAGTCCCGCCTTGTCTAATGCTACACCCCAAGGGAGTAGCATCTGAACTAGGGAAGGGCATTTAGACCAGCCTTACCTACATGCAAATTAATCTAGGAATTAGAAATGTTGACTTTTAAGTTGAGTAGATGATCTCATTCCCAATTATGGATTTGATCAAAGGTTCCATAGCCCATCCTCTCCTTGCCATGATTATGGAGTTGATTGTGTAGGAATCTAAGGAAGTCAGCAACAGAGTTGCCGTGTGTGAAAATACAATATTTCGGTTTTCCTCTACCATTGTGGTGCTCAGTCTCAGCTGGCTGATCTTCTATGTGACAAGTGTGGCAGCTGTTTTGCTCTGAGTTCCACACTTTGGGGAAAGTAGCCAATTAAAAGTAGCCAATTTACTCTCTATTTCCTCCTGGGTGCTCACAAACTTTCAGAATTCTGGCATCCTGGCAAGAGGGCTGGAATTGTGCTTCATATTTATGAAATCACAAGATCTTTAGCTAGAGGATACAGCCGGGAGAGTGTCCCCATTGGCAAGGTCACAACACATGATGCAGAGATGATGGCAGAGATTCAGGAGTGGGCGCCCCGAACAATGGCCATACTCAAAGGCGAGTGGGAGGAAATGAGATCAGTGTAGCCAGAGAGGGAAAGCAATGTTCACGGATGCTGGTTGGCTAAGGACTCCTCACCACAAAAGAGATTAAGATTCACCTGGCTCTGATACGCCATTTTGCTGAAAAGACTCTGGACTCATGATAAAAGTCACACAAGACAGGGAGATCATCTAAGGAAGGTGCAGCTTTGCAGAGTATTGTTTTTATGCTTCAAACTGCCCAAGTGAGGTGTTTCAAAGTTAAATCCAACTCACTTTACAGCTTGTAAACTCCCTAAATTGTTTCCAAGGATAATCATGAATAAACTTAATTGCCCAGCAATTAAGAACATATTTTTTTATTCTTCCTCTCTGCACCCAAAATTGAAACATTGAATTCAGACCCCAGCAGCTACTAGAAGGAGAGATAAAAGTTAAAGAACAAACGTGGAAGGAGAGATTAAACCCTCCCCCGGTCAATTGGGTGGTTCAGCTTTATTGGGATACCAAAACCTGGCAAAGGCAAAATCCCCCATTGCATATAAGAGCTACAACTTGATATGCCAATGCCTCCACTTAAAATAAACTCTTATAATGAACCTCAATTTTAATCACAGTGAGAGCAGAAGCATAACCAACTTTAGGATATGTGACAAATCCAGCGTGTCCCCCAGTTAGTCTATTATCAGCCGCAAGCCCAGAGACAACACCCAAAGTCCAAATTCAATCCTTTACTTGCTTCTGCTTAATGGACAGAATCTTGCCAGACACAAGCTATTCTACTAGGTCTATCCTGAAAATTCTACGTAGAATGTGGCTACACTGAGCATCTTTCCTCTCCCCAACCAGCTCTGGGCAGCATAATTTCTTGATCTGGACCTCTCTCTGGGAAAACTCTGTGTAGCTAAAACTCCCTCACTGCTCCTCCAGGTGCACCTTCCATCACATCTACTACGAGCTTTTGCAGGAATTACCTCAAGGTGTGGTCAAAAGATGGTGGTTGTTGCCATGGTGCAATTGAACCTCTCCATTTTCTATCAGTGTCACATCAAACAGTAGGTGATGTTTTAACTGTACCGATGCAGCCACCTTATCTTGATTTTTTTGACCATGCCTCAGGGACACTCCTTGGCAAACACCAAACGGGCACAATATGAGCAGCTTTGAGTCATATTTACATTAATTCCTGAATTAAAGCAGTTTCCAGGTATGGTCTAGAATTAATGCAGGGGAACCCAACACCCTCCTCACTTGGTTCAGAAATGAACCACTCTATAACTGCCACTCAGTTCTGTTTCTCCAGGCATGGCTGAGTTTTAAAGCCAGAATTCTCTCCACCCCACCCAAAGGTGAATCACACTGGAAATAGGTGGCAGCAAAAAACATCATTTTTAAACAAACTAATTAGAGCCCCTGGCTGAGTCTTAACCTAGAAGCCAATCCAGCAAGCTTTAGGCAAACCTTAGTAAATAATGTGGAAGCTCTGTGTACCTCCAACTCAAGTCTTCATGAGGACTTGATTTAATCTATTTCTAGGTGGTTTTAATACTTTATATTTGAAACAGTTTCCATTTTGCCCCCAAATGACTGTTTCTTCTCCTATGGACTCTCCCCTCCACTTTTATTCTGAGTCAAAACAGAAACACATCCTTGGTCATGATGAATAATTAACCAGCAGGAAATATCAGTATTTGAGAAGAATGTGGAAATTAGAAAGGTGGCACTCCCAAAGGTGTTTTTTTTCAGGAGGCAATTGGACTTCCTTTATTTTTTTTCTTTGAAGACCTTTTGCTTCTCATCCAAGAAGCTTCTTTGGCTCTGACTGGATGGTGGGGACTGGAAGGATTTATATTCTTTGCAGATAACTGGTCACATCCTTTTGGGGGGTCATTGAAGCACTTGGAGGTTTATCTGTGCCCTCCAACCTGGATTTATAAATCCTTCCGTTCCCCAGTATCCAGTCAGAGCTGAAGAAGCTTCTCGGATGAGAAGTGAAACAACTTAAAAGAAAAAACAAGAAAGTGCAAATGCCTCCTGAAAAAGCACCTTTGGGACAACCATGGCCTGGATGACCGAGAATCTCTACGACTTTCAGAAAGGTGGAAGAAATACATCCTGCTGTTGCCATTTGGCGCCCCCTTGTGACTGAAAGTGCAGACTATCTTGGAGAAAAACTGCAACTGTACCAAGTTCATTCATTCCTAACAAAAGCAGCATCAAATTTCCGAATTATACTTTGGTTACGTTTCAAATCTATTTTTAAGTGCAGCTGTGTAAGATATGCAAAAGAGATAATGTTAGCTTTGCTGTGTCTTTGCTACATGGAAATAGTTATTTTTTAGAATATTTATAGTGGGGGGGGGGGGAAACCCTTCCGTCTTAATTTGTGTTCATTGGGTATTGTTGAGACAATTGTCTCGATTTTTATCCCCTGCCTGATTTTAATTATTTAATTATTTTAAATAATTATTAAAATGTTGCTTGTCCTTCTCCGACTCACTTGTTGAAACTTCTCGTAGTTAAAGGATTGCCCAAAGGAGAAGATCAGGAAAAAAAAATCCCAGTCGACTTACATAAAAGCAAGACATGTATATAACACTGAAGATCTGCAATAGAACCACTGTGTCAGAAATACACAAGATAGTTGGACTATTACATAACAAAATGGAGATGTGGCAAAGAAATAAGGAGATCACTCCCAAATTAAATTACCTATGCCTTTTCTTTTGAATAAAAGATATGGTAGATACATACACCTGAATTTACTTTTGCAGAATTGTGGCTAACAATAGTTCCCAAACCAAGGTTTGGGA